GGGGCCCCCCCTCGGGGGCTGCGCCAGGCACCCCAGAAATTTATTACATCTCCTGCCGCGTTGCCACGGGCATCCCTGCAGCTCCCCTGGGCGAGGGGCAGCACCACAGAGCCCACCCACAGCCCCTGGGGGCCTGGCAGTGGCTCAGCCCCCTTGGGCACATGGCCGTGCTCCTCCGGTCCTGTGGCCACCACAGCCAAGGGCTGGTGGTGCCAGGGGGCTGGGAGGGCCACGGGGCAGGCAGGGTGTGTTCAGGGGTCTAAGGGCAAGGCCTAGGGGAGGTGTGAAGGTGGGATCTGAGGTTGGGGGCAGTGAGTGTCTGCTCCCCCGTGACAGGTTGTGGGTCTGGCTGCATTTCCTGTCTGTCTGTCTCTGCAGGTGGCAGCCAGCAAGCCCCAGGGGCACAGGGTGATCCTTGGCCTCCACTCCCAAGTCCTGCTGGGAACAGGCGTGGTGGCACACGACAAAGGTGTGAGTCAGCCACATCCCACTCAGCACTGGCACTGGGGGAGTGCTGCATCCCTGGGGTGCCCCCCCAAGACTGGGGGATCCCCAGGGGTGTCCCCAGCCAAGCCAGGCCCTGGCGTGTGGGATGGCACCTCCCTGCTGGGTGTACTGGATGTCAAGATGGAGAAAGTGATTTGTCCCTGTGCATGGGTACAGGAATAGCCAAACTCCCCCTAATCCTGCTACAGCCCCCAGGAACCCCTCCAAGCAGGCATGCGTGAGCCCCTGGCTCCTGTGTGGGGACTGAGTGTGCTGGTGGCTGAAGCCTCAGTGCACCTGGTGCCATGAGGGGATGGCTGTGGGATGGGGGTACACAGGGCACTGGGGCCCAGGCAGGTGGGTGGGAACCCACCTGCACCCAGGGAGGGCCCAGCATTGCATGCGCCCCCTCACCCTCCCCAGTGCTGCTGCCACACTCAAATCTTCTAGGCAGCTTTTATCCACCTGACTTGGTGTTCCAGACAGCAGGAGCTGGAGCTCTGGACAGCCCCAGTGTGGAGCTGCCTCTCCTGGGGGAGAGGAGCCGCATCCCTGATCTGAGCTGAGGGGGCTGGTGGGACTCCTGTGTCCTCGGCAGCTGCTTGACTCCAATATCAGGGCTGTGCCCAGGCAGGTCCTTCCATAGCATCTACTGGCACCCTTGGGGCTGGTGACAGTGCCAGCAGGAGGAACACCCTTGCCCTCATCCCAGGGCATCCACCAGGAGGCGTTGTGGGTTGCAGGGCAGTTGTTCCAAGTGAGGCAATTCTCCACCTTGCTGTGGGGTGTGTCACACTGTGGGGCTGGCGTTGGGGAAGGTGTTGATTACCTCTCAGTGGTTAATTACCCAGCCCCTCGTGTCCCCACAGATGTGCCCTCTTGGCTGGTCCCTATGGGATGCAGAGCCCCCAGCTGCCCATGGGTGCCAGCAGGGGTGCTGGTGGATGCTGGTGCCTGGGGACAGAGGGTGCTGTGCCTTCAGAATTGCCACACCGGTGGCACTAAGCCTTAACAGCACAGCCTGGGTTCCCCTGGGAGAAGGGGCCATGGCACTGGGGTGTGGGGGCTGCCCTTGGGTGCAGCAGGGCCAGGGCTACCCGCTCCTGCCCAGGCTGGTAATTGAGTCACTGGTTGCAGATTGATGCTTTAATTAAAGCCCAATTAGAAATCTCATTGATCTTGTTAGCAAAGCAGGGAGGTACCAGCTTTAGCAGGGATTAAGGGGATTGCATGGCCGCAGATCAGGACAAGGGTGTGTGTGGAGGGCACCTGTGGGGCGGTGCTGGGTGTCCTGGGGTGCTCAGGGAGGGCTGTGCCCCGTGGTACCATGACCTCAGAGAGCATCCCCTGTCTCCCCAGGAGCCCTGATCCCCCCATCAGGGAGGTGGCCCCGGGGACGCCATGTGCTGGCGATGCCTCACGCCGACACCTCGCGGCTGCGCCAGGCGAGAGTGAGGGGAGGACGCAGGGGGGGGGGCCCTGCCGTGGCGTCCTGCCACTCCTGTGCGTGGGCCGCGGTGCGGGTGCTGTCTGCCGTGCCGCTGCGTGTGTGCGTGGCTGTCTGGGTACCGGGGCTGTGCAGTGCTGCCTGCCTGGAGGGCCTGACAGGGTTGGGGCACCACACTGAGCTGACCCCTCCCCAGCGGTGGGCACGGCTGGGCATTCTGTCTGTCCCTCTGCCCATCGGGGTGGATGGGGTGGCCATCGATGTGCCTTCACCTCTGGCTGTTGTGCGGGGTGAGTGGAAGGGGACCGTGTAAATCGATGGCATTTATTTGCTCCCTGCCTGATCGATGGGCCCCGGCTGTGCTGAAAGGGTGAAGCAGCTGGAGCCAAATAAAGAAGGGTCTGGCTGGGCTGGGGGAGGGGGTCTGGCCTGGCCTCCAGTGCTGGGGGCACCATGCCATCACCCACAATGTGGGACACCCTGCATTGCCCCTATCCTCACCGCTGCCACCGCTAGCAGGGGATGCTGAGCCCAGCAGGGATGAGCTGCGCAGCTCGGGGGTCTGGGCAGGGGCCTGGTCCCCCCTGTGCTGCTGCCGTCGGGGCTGGGCGTGCTGCAGTGCACCAGGCGCTGCCGAGCAGAGTCCGAGCAAGCGTGCGGCGCCCAGCCCGGATCCATCATCTATGGCAGCAGATGGGAGTGGGGCAGCTGCCGGGCTCACACCGGCGCTGCCACTTGCTGGGTAGCTGGGGTCCCGCCGGTGCGGGGCTGGTGCGCACCGAGCCCGGGCTGTGCTTGGGATGGTTCTGCCAGGGCACATCCAGGTTCTGCCAGTGGACATCCATCTGCCCAGTGCCGACAGGCTGCCGGGAGGTACCACTGCCTTCCAAAGCCCTGCTCTAAAAATGCAGTCGTGCAGAAGTGATGCTGCCCATTCCGTTCCTGCATTTAACCCTTCGGGCACTGCCAGAGCCTGCTGTGCCCCCCCTCGCATGATGCACGACAGTGGCCAGGGGTCTGTCTCCACCCAGGTCACCTGTCCCTGGAGCTTCCCAACAGCTGCAGGGGCTGGTGGGGACCAGGCAGCCCCTACCTGCTCTCGGGTGAGTTTGGGATGAGGTAGGAGGCCAAGACCCTTGTTCAGGGTGTCTACGCCCATCCTCATGCTGCTGGGGCTGGGCAGGATGGTGCTGCAGGCAGAGCTCAGGTTGCCTGGGCCTTGGCATTGAGGCTGCTGGGATTTGGGGACATCTGGTGGGGGCTGCTCTGCACCCACAGGACTGGGATCCTGTTGCAGGAGCTGAGCATGGTGGGGATGCAGCATTGTGGCTGAGGCTGCTCCCGGAGCCCCATGGATGTGCCCCAGGCCGTGGTGGCCCTGCCTGTTTCGGACTGGTCTCCAGTCTGGTAGGGTTGCTCCAATGCCTGCAAGCTCGTGACACGTGCTGGCAGCCAGTGATATCTGTGGAACTCACCTTCTGGGGTCACCAGCATTGCAGTGTTGGTGTGTCCCAGCCCAATGGGGACCTTGGTGCCCCATGGGGCATCACTCGTTAGCGAGGTGTTTACCAGAAGCCACACTTCTTAATGAGCCCCCAGCGCAAGTCCCAAGGGGGTGCGTGTGCCATAGCCCTGGGTGCTACAGAGGAAGGGGGAGTTCCCTAGCACAGCAGGAGACTCAGAGTTTGGGGCAGGGACACGGGGAACATGGTTCCTGCATCCGTCACTCCCCAGGTGCAGCCCCAGCCTGGCTGCACTGAGCACCAGCTGCAGCGCCTGCTCCGGTGCAGGGCAGTCAGTTCAGGGTAAGCTGGTGTCCCAGCCCTGCGTCCCATGTGGAGTTAATTGCAATTTTCTCCTCGGGGCCATTTCTTTAATAACAAGCCTTTTTCTCTCCCCCCTCCCCCCCTTCCCACCACATCAAAGGGGAAAGATGAAAGGTCCTGGCACCCTGTGGAGCAAGGGTGGCTGCCTCAGCACCTTGGGTTGCCCGGTGGGTGCTGGGCTGGTCCAGCGAATAGCGGCTGCGCGGTGAGGGAGGTGCCGCGTGGGGCTGCCCCACAGGTGTTGAGGCCAAATTCAGCCCCCCATGGCCTTGTTGCTGGCGGCAGCCCCTGCAGGGCTCCTTGGGTCCCCCTTTGCTGGCAGACACCAGGTCCCCATTTTGTTCCTTCTGGAGTGCTGTGTGACAAGGTGCTGCCTGGGCTTCCCAAACCACACCTGGGGCAGTTGTGCAGGGTGGGGCAGCCCTGCTGGGGGGGTTCTGGAAGCTGGCTCTAGGGGGGAGCAGTGGGACCCACTGTGGGGTGAGGGGACCCTGAGTGCTGGGCCAGACCCTGTCAGGTCTGTGGACATGGGTTTGCCCTGACAAGAGGAGAAAGGGGCACCGAGCTGGGCGATGCACATCACTGCAGCCACGAGTGCCAAATGCTGCGGTCACGTCCCAAGGGAACCGGGCAAAGGGACCGTCCCTAACACCGCAGGGTGCAGGGTCATGCCTGCAAGGTGCGGGGGTCGTGGAGCGGGTCCTGGCCGGGGTTTGGTGCCGCCGCGGCAGCTCGGTACAGAGCCAGCGCCTCGCTGCGCCGGCTCCTCATTAATTGGCAGGAGCAGCGGGTCAGTGCGGCGGCGAGGATTACAGCGGCCGGGATTTCCATCGGGCACGGATTAGGAGCCAGCGGAGCCTCTCTCGAGTGGATCTGAGGGGATTGCTGCTCCTAATCAATGTAAATGAGGCTCCCCCAGGGCCACCCTTTACAGCATTAACGAACTAACGGGATTAGCCAGAGCAGGGTGAGAAATCCTCTCCCTGAGCCATGGCGCGTGGCGAGGCTGGGGCCGTGGTGGGAACCATGGTGGGCTGGCTCCAGGCTGCCAGGGCTGAACAGGGAGGACCAGAAGGTGCATCCCACAAGGTCTCTGGTGCCTCTGGACCCTTTGGCTATGTCTGTCTGCCCCTCCTTGAAGCCTCTGGCACATTCCCAGCAGGATCCAGCAGTGCTGTTTGTGCACCTGTAGGCATCCCACCCGGACATGTGGCACCTGCAGCACCCATCTGTGACAGCGTCCCTCTCATCCCATCACCAAGACAACAACATTTCACTGCGGGTCTGAGGGGCCAAGGTTGTGCCAGGGTCAGAGTCACAGAATCATGGAATGGTCTGGTTTTGGAAGGGACCTTAAAGATCCTCCAGTCCCCCCTCCCTGCCATGAGCAGGGGCAGCTGCCACTAGACCAGGTTGCTCCAAGCCCCATCCAACCTAGTCTTGGACACTTTCAGGGAGGGAGCAGCCACAGCTTCTTTGGGCAGCATGGGCCAGTGTCTCACCATCCTCACAGCCAATAATTTATTCCTAAAATCCCACCTCAATCTCCCCTCTTTCAGTTTAAAACCCTTCCTCTTCTTCCCATCCCTCTGGACCCTTGTCCGAAGTCCCTCCTCAGCTTTCCTGGAGCCCCTTCAGGTACTGGAAGGTGCTCTAAGATCTCCCTGGAGCCTTCTCCTCTTCAGGCTGGACACCCCCAACTCAGCCTGTCTCTAGAGCAGGAGTGCTCCAGCCCTCACATCATCTCCATGGCCTCCTCTAAACTTTCTGAGTTGGGGTTGTTGGGGTTTTTCAGCCTGGAGAAGAGAAGGTCCTGGCATACGGGGGGGCTCCAGATGGAGGTTGAGCAGGGGGATACTGCTGTCCCCCAGGGTCCTTGCTCTGTGACTGTCCATTCTCTACTGTCCAGAACTCTTTTGAGGAGGGAGTTAGTGTTTGGAAAGGTGCAGGGGGTGTACCTGACCCCTCCATCTCCCCCCTTTCCCTTGCAGCCTGCGGCGGGAGGGCTACACAGTGCAGGTGAACGTCAACGACTACCTGGACATCTACTGCCCACACTACAACGCCTCAGTGCCAGAGCACCGGCTGGAGCAGTACGTGCTCTACATGGTGAACGCAGAGGGCTACCGTACCTGCAACACCAGCCAGGGCTTCAAGCGCTGGGAGTGCAACCGGCCCCACGCGCCCCACAGCCCCATCAAGTTCTCGGAGAAGTTCCAGCGCTACAGCGCCTTCTCGCTGGGCTACGAATTCCGCGCTGGGCAGGAGTACTACTACATCTGTACGTGGGGCACCCTGCAGGGATCACCACTCAGCCCCAGCTGGGTCCCCTTGCACCCTCCCAGCTCGGTGGCTGCAGCCTCCCCTCAGGCGTGGGCACCCTGACCTCGGGGGTAGGGGATGGAAAACTGGGGTAGGGAGGGTTAGGGGCACAGAGAGGGGCTTGTGATGCAGGGTTGAGATGGGGGCATGGGGGAAGATTGGGGCATGGAGGGGGATGGTGGGAAAGGACAGGAACACAGGATCAGGGTTCAGGGGTGTTGATACAGGATTAGGGTGCTGGGGGGGTGCTGATACAAGATTGGGGTGCTGATGCAGGATCAGGGTTCAGGGTGCAGGACAGGGCTGCTGCTGCGTCCCCCCATCCCAAAGCACAGCTCTAGGCAGGGCCAGATCTCAGCATGCCCAGGGGCCACCGAGCCTCTGGGTGCCTGGGACTTTTTCCCTGTTCCCCCCAGGGGCTGGGGGCGAGCGGGGGGCGGCGTGGTCTCCGGCGGGTCTCCTGTTCCTCTGGGGTCCCTCATCCCTCCAGGGTGCCCCATGCCTCCCAGTTCCCTTGTCCCTCCCAGTTCCCCCCTCCATCCAGAGTCCCCTATCCCTCCCAGGGGGGTGCAGCATGAGGCAGCCAGGGAGAGAAACCCCATCCCCTCTCTCCCCCTCTTGCAGCGTCGCACTCCGGGGAGAAGCTGGTGCCCACCCTGCCCCAGTTCACCCTGCGGCCCGAGGTGAAGATCGAGGACCTGGGTGAGTCAGGCAGAGCACCCCCGGCCCCAAAGACCCGCGTCTCCCCCGCCGCCGCCGGTGGGGCTGCCCCAGCTATGGGGTGGGGGGTTCGGGGTCTCCCCGCTGACCCCCTCACCCTCTTATTCTCCCCTCCCAGAAAACTTCAACCCAGAGATGCCCAAGCTGGAGAAGAGCATCAGTGGCACCAGCCCCAAGCGGGAACACTTGCCCTTGGCTGCGGCTGGGGGGGCCCTCCCCCCTTAACCATCGTACT